AAAAAAACTTAACTTCTCCTATTGATTCCTTTTCTTGAACCTTGATTTCTAACGAACCGGAATATTTTCGGGTTTGATAAAAATGGCCCTTTCATCAGATATTATTAACATAAAAGGCTTCTTCACCAATCTCTTCCAAATCCGTAATTGTTAAATTAGTTTCTTCTAATATTTCTCTTTTGGCCGCAGTTTCGGACGTTTCTCCAGGCTCGATTTTGCCTCCTGGGAATGTTCACTTATCGCGTTTTTTGCTGTAAACTAAAAGATACTGATTTTTTGGATTAGCAATGGCTACACAAGAAAATTCCTTGACTTTACTATTATTGGGTGCTTTAGGGAAAAAAAAATATTCCCCAATCGGAGAATTAAGATAATTAAGCAAAGCCTCAAATCAAACATAAATGACCATTTTCTCATTGTTGGGAACCGGAATTCCTCATTTGATATCACTACGGGTAATACACAAATCTCGCCTTTCATTTTTGAGAAAATTTTCAAATAATTCTTTTTTAATATTAGGTGGCAAAAGAAAATCAGGGTTTTTTTGATAATGCTCTACCAATTGTTGGTAATAATTACTAACTCGCAAAAAATAAGCCGGTTCTTTAATTTTTCGTAATTCGGACTGACAATTAGGAGTCGGACATAAATTGTTGTTAATAACTTTACTATCGCTCACATAATCCTCACAGGTAACGCAATATCTTCCTTGATATTCTCCTAAATAAATATCATTTTTATTTAATAATTCGGTAAAAATTTTTTGGACTTTTTTTTTATGGGTGGAAGCAGAAGTGCGATAAAAGATGTGTTCAGTAATGTCTAATTCTTTTCATAATTGTTGAAAAAGTAAAATATTTCGGTCTACCAATTGTTGGGGACTAATGCCTAATGAAGCCGCTTTTTTTTCAATTTTCTCGCCGTGATCATCACTGCCGGTTTGGAAGTAAACCTGATAACCTTGGCTCTTTTTGTAACGGGCAATAATGTCAGAGATAATCATAGTATAGGCATGCCCTAGATGTAAACGATCATTGGGATAAAAAATGGGTGTGGTTATATAAAAAAACTTCGGCATCTTGACAATAATGTTAAATAATAATTTTTAGAGAAAAATATGCAAAATAAGGAATAGCTTAATCATAATGTATTTAGTATTCGGATTGATGAAACGCTTATGTAAGAACAAAAATAGATATTTAGGTGAAAAAGTTTCTTAAAGGTCGAAAATATTTATTTTAATTTTGCCTCATTGTTGTTATTCTTCCATTTCGCCATCATTTTTTCGGATTCTTTTTCTTTTTTTGTTTTCATTTATATCTGGATCGTTTTCAGTTTCAGTTAATTTTTTCGTAAAAAAAGGATAACTAGTTTTCAAATGCTCTTGTAATTCTTTAACTTTAATTTGCTCTTGTAGATAGTC